GCCAAAGATTAGTTGAAAAGTTGCAGTGCCATTCCTTTACTCCCCCTGCAACATTCCACATGGATTTGTTAATCCTTCTGTTGTCTCTGGGCACATTTTCAAAAGAGAGACTAGAGAACATTGTGCATTCATCCAGGCCAGTGTGAACTCATCATCTTGAAGAGTTTCATATGAAACCAAGTGAGGGCAGAGTCCAGTCCTGCGAATGCTAGCATTTTTTTTACAAAGCACCGATTTTATTTTGCAGGGACTTAGAGTAATGTATTTTGCATTGATTTTACCACTGTAGTAGATTGCTTTTCAGGCCAATTAATTTAAAGGGTAAGCAAACAGCTGACGGCTTTGCTTGCAAATCACTTGTTCTAGTGAATTTTAAGCAATGGGCTTATTTGTTAAAAACACAGTAAAAGAAAATAATTATCGTGCTTCTGTAAACTGGAGTCATTCAAAGCATGAGCTTGGACAGATCTACATCCTATTATACAGCAGATAAATTGATTGCATACACAATTTTTTATAATCTTTTAGGCTACTTTTCCCCTGTTGCAACATTCCTCACCTCCTTCTAGTGGTAGCTGATGGGTGACATTTTAGATACTCCATTAAAGTGCAGGAAAATTATTTTTCCAATTATTGCAAATCTCTTCAGTCTCAGGAATAGAAAGGCTACAGGTCAACCATTCTTGAAAATGCCATAAAGTAATAATCCTCTATATAGATAACATGAAATATCTTGAGGTGAAGTTATCCCACCAACATTACCTCTTCTGGCTCCACATAGAGATCATTTCTGCAATAAGATGGAGCTTGCCCCTCTCTTTGCTTTCTTTTCACACCCAAAACAATCTTTCCTCAGAAGACTGAGCAAAAAGATTCCTGGCTGGAAGGCATTTATGCAAAAAAACTCCCTGATGATTCAAATTAAGACAATTTAAAATTTAAAAAAAAAAAAAAAGAAAGAAAGAAAGAAGAAGAAAAAAAGAAATACAGAAAAAAGAAAAAAAAAAAGAAAGTACACCCACCCACAACCTTGAATCACAGAGAGCACAAGTAAGAACTCTGTAGCTAAGAGCCATGTGAGTGGGCTTAGTAAACCTTCACCCAGTGCATACATTAAAGAGAAGGGATACAAGATTCCTAAAGTCTGCAAGCTTTTGTGTAAATAACTTTACTAATTTGTGCAATCTTGTGCCAGTATAGATTGCTATGATATGAAACATAACTTCAGTGGGTAGACAAAATATTTGAGTTTCAGCTCCTCAGCTGAGAAGTCTTGGATGACTCAGTACCAAGATCTAAGTGGAAAGCGTCTGCGAAATTTCACTTGCAAAGACAAAATCCTTTCATACCCTGCATGAAGAAGTGACCTCTAGTAGTGCTGGACAGTCCAACTTCCCTAAATGTCCAATGTCCCTATAGGCAGGCACAATGCAGGTTACTGCAGAGGCAGAAAACTACAAATGAAACAGTGCATCTTTAAAAGTGACAGACTCCTACCTAGAATCTTCACAGGAGTTACAGCTACCTTTCTTAGTTAAGCAGACTACAAGTATGCATTGCATGCACTCCAGGTTAAGGCCAATATCTTGTTAAGAGCTATGTAACCACTTGTGGTCTGACCATGCCCATAGATACCTTCTAAAATGAAAAACTTGTATTGGCTAGGTGATAAATAACCCACATTTTAGACCTGTCTTAAAAAATCCTGTTTTGGAAAGGGGCTTTTGTTTCTGAACTAAGTTCACTGAAGGGGAAATCAGTTTCCCATTCTCATGTTCCTTCTTTCCAAGCATCAAGCTTCCCTGCAGCCATTAGCACCAAGAAACATCCTCATGAGCTCAGAGAGGCTCTCCATAACCAGCACGTTTCGAATCCCAAGGTGAGCAGATCCATTCTGAATCTGCCAGAATTACTGCCACAATGCAATACTTTGGGACTCTGTGCTGTGAAAAGAAATCCTTAAAACCACACTGCAACAGTTTATAGGCAATTATTTATCCTAAATAGTTAAAAGTTTCTGACAGGATCATCTGTATTTCAGTAAATACAGAAGCATCTCATGCTGTGACAGAAGCCTTGTCTGCCTTACCTCAGGGGCTGCTTGGTCTGCAAGCAAACTGCTATACTTTAAAGACATTTTCTATTGTAGTAGGTTTGTTATGAACTAACCCTTTGAAAAAAATTACAGCAAATGTAAAAAATTTATTCACTCTCTTCAGGTACCAATTCTAACAGAAATCCTTGAAGATAACAGACTTAGAGGAAAACGGAATAAAATCCATCACGGATTTAACAGAGTTGTAACACACAAGAGAAACCTGGCAAGGATTTCTATTAAGATAATTTATTTTCTAGATAAAGAAAATGCCCTGAATCTAGTTTGACCTACATATCAGCGCATACATCTTCTTCTATGTATTTATTTTGATATCACAGAGATTTCCCTGTCTAATTGACGAAGATAAGGACAACGTGAGGAACTCACTGAGCAGCGAACAATGGCCCTTGCTGTTCAAAGTGGGATGTGGTGGACATCCTCCTCAGTCAGTCCTGGGATCGTTCAGCTGTGGCTCTGCCACGAGGCACACAGAAGTCCTCAGCACAGGGACAGGCAGCACCCTGTGACCTCAGCCTGGGAGAGTAACAGTTCAGCAACAGAACTTCCAGGTCACACACTGAAGTAGAACTGGTAAGAACATACCAACAAGAAGGTATGAGCTGAAAAGAAGCAAGCCTAGAACAGCAGTGAATAGCATTTTGTCTACTGAAATGTCAATTCAGTGAAGGAAAATACATCAGGGTCATACTAATTAGGGGAAAAGAAAGCAGAGTTAAGTGAGATATAGGTATAATCGGGACATAAATTAGCTCAGCTTGCCTATCAGAATAATATTTTACCAAAGGAGCAAGTGTCTGCAACAGCCTTTGGTTAGAAATCGTATGGCAAAACTTGGCAGCTTTAGGACAGAGGGAGGGGATCAATCTCTGAACCAGATTGCAGCAGGCAATGCTGTCCTGAACAAAAACCTGGACACAAGAACCACACATTGTAGATTCACAGAAGCTTAACAGTGGGAAGTAAGCAGAGATTGCCAGCATGCTGCTTACAAATGCTGCTCTTCTAGAAGCAGATATGCATAAACTAAGCCACTTCCATAGAGAACACATGACAAATCTGGGATGCTGATCTATTCTACTAACAGAGCCTCTGGCAAAGGCTTTAATTTTGCAATCATTCAGCAGAAGGGCCATACCGGTGTCAGGTGCCAGACAACAGCATTAGAAGAAACAGCAATCCTCTAAAAAGAGACAGGTATCTATTGCAGCATTTGTGCAGCGAGTCAGAAAAGGCTGTAAATCATCCCAAGATCCTCTGGAACGAAGATTCTTTAGAAATACAAAATCTTTGTCATCAGCGGAGGATCTAGGAAGGAAGTCATTCATGTGGGCTGCATTTCATAATCCCATGCAATCAAACTTATGCTCTAGTTTTCTCTTTCCCCAGGGGCACAGAATGCCCCTTCCAGGGGGGTGTTGTAAGGCATGTCACGTACCTCTTTTATGTTCCCCACAAGAAAAGCTTAATCAGATGTAATAAGGTTTGGATCAATTCTCAGCTCTGCCACAAATCTAGCATATGAACACTGGTAAATAATTTTTCCTTGTATTTACATTCAGAAAGAGAAAAGTAGTAACTTTTCTCTGGAATTCTCATTTATCCGCATAGATCAGAACACCTCAGCAATGGTTTTTACTAAGCTTTTATATACAGAAATTAGCAAAATAAATAAATAACAATTTGGGGCCAACATTGTACAAACAGGAAACAAAAAACAACTTTCACGGATGATATTCTTGAATAGTCAGATACAGAAAAAATAGAAAGAGAAAAGGCAATATTAGAACTTAATTGGGAAATAGAAACAATGGAAAAATACCAGTAATGCAGAACTCATTAGGGAAAGCAGAGTCTGCTAGGTAGAATCACTGTTTAGCTGTCCGAGGATAGAGCAGAACATTTCTTTTTTACTTGTCACCAAGTACAATGACCACCATGATCCCAGCTGTCATCAAATGCATAACCAAAAGTGGGCTAAACCAGAGAAATCAGAAGAAAAAGAACACAGGGCCAGACCTTCCTCCACTAACTTCTGTGGAATTCTCTGGCTGAGAGCTTGCACTCACTCCAGCAAATCAAAAGCTAGAAAAGCTAAACATCATTATTCTGAACAGCTTCACACAGCTGATGGTATCTTCCCCACAAAGCTGAAAGCGTATGCACAATGATCTAAATTAATACAACATATTTTTTTTTCTTTTTCTTTTTCTTTTTTTCTTTTCTAGCTATATAAAAATTAGATTTACATTGTTCCCCTGATATTTACATAAAGCATAACAATGAGTTCAGTAGCTGGGTCAGCGGCAGTTCATCTGCAAGATATCCATCTGCATCATTGCATTTCAGTCAGTTGTAATGCATCCTAAGTCCAAAATGATATACTGGGGATCAGCCTGGCTACAGCTTCACTTCTACTTACTGTTCTATTTATGAAGACTGATGACAAAAAACTGCAACAGGCAAATAAGAAAAACAGTATGAAATGCATCTACAATAATATGGAACAATTATGTGTCACAAAATGTAATCACTTGGAAATTCAGTCTGTCAAAGAACTGGACATTTAATTATAATAATCAGTCTAAACAAGAACTAATTGGAAGCGAAGATTCACTTTTATCTAGAATTTTTGCTCATGAATTTTAAGCATGTTACCTAGTAGGATATAACCAAAGCTATGAAAATCCGAACAAATTACCCTCCTTCCAGTAAGCCCTCCTTATGCAGTACAAGCATGCTCACTTTTTTTCTTTTTTCTATCTTTTTTTTTTTTTTTTTTTTTTTGAGGCATCTGAATGCATATTTCTAGCTAATGGCTAAATTCGTTTCCATATCTAGATTCAAAGAGGCAAGGGATACATATACTTTGCTATTCCCCTAGAGAATGGATTTATTTTAGGACAGCAAAAGCTTTATCTACTTTCCAATTTTGTCTCTTCCTCATGCTTCCCTGCCATCACTTGTGAATGTAAAAATTAAAGTACCTATAACTACCTAAGGAAATAAATTCAATTGCAAAGATATAACCAAAGTATGCCATACTATAATCATTACTGATTTATAAGTGCCATCTTCTCACTTTCTAACAACCTTGATAGTTACTAAATCACAGCTGAAAATACACTAATATGTTATTTACTAACACTGCCCTGTCAGCACTGGGATCCGCTTTGTATTTTTCTGCTGTACTGTGAGAAGTACCTCAGACAAACCCATAATGGTTCCAATGTAAGAATTTTCTTTCTATGGTATCCTAGGTTAATTTCATAATCTAAACTCTTTTAGAGCAATTTTATATATCTCAGCATCACAAAGAAAGTTTTGTCCTTGATGTACTGCAGAAGTTCAGGTTTGTGCTTCTACAAAATGCTGTCAGGTGGCAGAAGCTGGAGAATCCAAGGTGCATTTCAGGTAGAACCGAATCTCCTTGTGTTTTCTCACTAAATTAAACATTCATTGTTCTGTATAGCAAAATCCAGCTTCAGGAACTGCAGCCACGGTTGAAAGAAGAGTTGTTCTTTTCACTAAGTCATTTTGCAAGTTCAAAGAATGAAGTCAGTAGCACCCTCACAAAATAGGGTCTCTGTCTAACAGCCAAGCAATGCAGTTGCACACACCATTGTTCCAGTAGGACACACAGGTTTATTCTTTGCTACCGTGTTACCTATAAAAGAAGAGGAAACAGTTACCAACATGGAATTTTTCCAATGAGGATTATAAAACATGCTCCATTGTAAAACAGGACACATCATGAATGAACTAACCCCAGCCAAACATTAATTATGTTGTTATCCAAAGTACAAAGATTTGCAGATGAAGAAATGGCTGTTTACCATTAAACAGCCACCAACATCACATGGAACATCACTCTTCTGCTTCATTTAGCTTAGCATCAGTTACAACACCAATGCCTACAGAACCAGTGTACCACTTACATCCCCAAGAACCATTCATGCAAAGTGCCCATTCTCAGCAGCACATCTAATGGAAGGGATGTACAGATCAGAGAGAACGTCATGTGCAGTGTGGACAAACTGCTGTTGCAACTGCAGTCACTTCTGGATAGCACTTCCTCCACAGGATCCCATGGTCTTCACTTTATTGCACTATGCACACTCCATCAGGTGTGTTAGGGATGTATGTGCAAGCCTTAATGCACGCACACAGTGCTAAGCAAACCCAGTGGATTTGTCTGCACAGTGAGAGGCATCACCACCCTGCAAATAGGTAAGAATAAAGGTGCCTGCAGGGAGGAATTTTGGTCAGCTCTGCTCTGTAGCATCTGGACATGTTATCAAGCTTAACAAACACATAGCACAGTTCTTATTTTCCTCCCCACAGTAACTGGTTTAAACACAAGCCCTTTAGCTTTTCATGTATTTAGATGTCCCACTCAGCTACCACATATACATCTAAACACTGAGTAGTATCAGGAGTCTCTCCATGCTTCATACACTTCAAGTCACTCTAATATTTTCGAATAAGATAGAAGACTTAAAAGTGATTACTTGGCATTTCCTCTCTTGGTGTGTAATTAACCTGAGGAACTCGCTATCCCAACTAGCACTGATCCCAAGGTGTTAGTAGGCTTTAAAAATTGATAAGAAATTTAAATGGTAATGAGATCATCTTTGCTACATAACATAGAAAAAAAAAAAAATTAGTATCGAATGGATCTCAACTCTCATGTTTTAGATGTAAGCCTACTACAAACTGAAAGCATTTCATATGTGGGTACATTTTCTATAACTGCCCACAAAGGTTTTGCTGTGTGTTTCCTATTTAAGTATCCCAGCACTGAGCTACACGGGTGCTGTATAGTTTGGACTACTGGTCATAGGGCAGTCCTTTACTTGTGCTGAGTTTTAATAATGCACTTAATTCATATTCTGCAGATTGAGTTGAGTGTGGACAATTATTTTGATCATTTTTAAAATAATGAAAAAAAAAGTTACCTCACACTTTTTCCTCTAATAAAGGGTTTTTCCATCCGTTCCTTTCCACTCTCTTTCCAGCTCAATATTGTATGTGCCACAAGCTTCTGTTCAGAATCTGGAGTTACCTTTATTCATTATATTTGTGCAATGACTGTACCTTAGTAGATAATCACCCATGAGCAATGCAAAACATATACAGAGGAAACATGGATGTGCTCTTTAAGGTAGCCTGCTACTCACCTGTTCCCTTCTCTAGCATGGCCAATAACTAGTAAAGTTTAGGACTCCTCTCAATAAGATGTATAACCATTAACTTTGTTATTCATATCTATATTTCTGTTGTTGTAGAGCTAGTATCTCCCTTATGCTGCCACTAAGCACATCCACAATGAAGCACAGCCCTACTTTAACATTTGTAAGTCTAAAATAACAAAGGACAGCAAAAGAAAAGCAAAGTCATGCAAGACAAAAAATGAGCAGCTCTCATATCAGTAATGTGGTAGAACAATTCACATCTAAGTATACGTGCCAGTTGTTTGCTTATCCTTTCAATTAAATATCCCTTAATCTCCTACGGTATAAAAATCAATGCAAAAAACATCACTCCACATCCTAGCAAAGTAGAGGACAAGTTTAATGAAATAGCATTTGCTCTCATATTGCTACATTATGCCCTCTGTTAGACTCACACAAACTCACCAGACTTGACGAATTTGCACAGGTCTAATTGCAGGCAGGATGATTTGTCCCACTCCAGCTTTATAAAGACATCTCTGAACTCATCAGAATGCATTGCTATATTCTGTAGGTTGCCGGTTGCATTTTTTGTCATGGATAATAAAATAAATAATCCATGCCAACTTTGCCCTTCTATTAGTAAACTCCCACTGAGTCAGGCTTCCTCTTTTCACTGTTTAAGAGCAACAGTCATAAGTATAGGCTGTATTATATGTCTTGGGGTCAGTTGACCTCACTGAACTGAAAGGCAACTGCACACAGAAGGAAAAGACAGCAACATGAATGAAGACCTGATGCTCCAGCTGTCAATGCCATAGATGTCATTATCTTATTCAACCCCCACTTGTCCTATCTCACCATTCTGTCTAATGCCACCACACCACACTATCCCTTATTTACATATGAGCAGCTGAAGTCAATGAAGTCAAGAAAAACTTCAAATGCTGAGGGTAGTCTATACCTTTCAGTAATTCCTCTGACTGAGCAGTGGCATTGGACCTGATGACCTCCAGGTTTCCCTTCCAACCTAAACCATTCTGTGATCTTTAAAAGAGGAATAGTGTTTTTCAGATTTTTCTGGTCAGATTTCTCCAAAGAATTTGCCATCATGGTAAGTGTACGGCTGGGCTCTGGACCACTGAACTCACTCCACAGCTGCCCAAAACTAATTTTCTCCTTCATCCTGAATTAGAACGTGTTTTTCTCCTTAAAACTGCAATTGTTAAACAGCATCTGATGTCAGTGTTTGCTTATTAATTCAGACTGTTACCTAATCAACAATATTCATTTCCATTCAGAAGAGGCTGTAAAGGAAAAAGCTAAGCATATGTCTTTGCTGCTATAGCCTGGCGAAAGCTCATGTTTTATGATATATTTAGACATGCAGTTCACTATGACTTGTTGAACTTCAGTGCACTGAACTCACTTCAGATTGTTAAGTAGACAGAGAACATGATATTTTCTTTCTGCTGGCCATTAATTAAGAAATAGATGGCAGAGAAAAGCTTATTTTAAAAACAGGCTGTCTCCACGATGGCCTGTAATTAGAAATTATTGGAACCAGCTTGATTTCCACTGGTGCTCAGTGTCCCACAGTTCCAGTGACGTCAGTACAAATTCTCAACTCCAAAGGTTAGCTACTTCATTCCAAAACTAAAAGGGCTTTGCAGTAGTGCAAGAATATAACTTTAGATAATTTTTCACCCTGGATCTATGTAATCAGTATGCAAATAGAAGAACTGATCCTGGAACACTACAACAGTCGTTTCTTTGGTTTGACTCCAACATCCAATAACTCAACTAGGCTGGGAGCAAAGGGGCAGTTCTTACCCAGCATTTTCCTGTCTGAGAACAATTGCATTAATCACTCTTTCCAGAATACTGAGGATTCTAGCACTGGTGCTCACAACCACGAATGCTACAAAATTAGCAAATGCCACCAACAGACTTCTATCTATATTAAAATAGGTGATTTCTGTACTTGCCTTTGTGGTTTTGACTTTATTTCCACTGCTGCAAGACCACCCTGAGTAGTCTGGTAGCACCTTACAGTCCTCTCCATCCAAACAGGGGTTCATATGACACCACCACTTCTGCAGGACAATAGAAGCTTGAAAAAGAAATGGGAAAGAGAAACAGAACACAATCTTTTCTTAATACTGTTGTTTTTTGTAAGTAGGTTGCCCGTGGGTTGTTCAGTTGTTTGATTACAAAAGGTAGAACCCACAGTTACTGTTTTAGAAGCTGAACACACTGATCATGTTTGAGCTGCAGATATGGCTAAAAAAGTTCACCAGCACACAGAAGAATAAATGGCATAGAGACCAATGCTAACAGAGAGTGACCTAACCTCTGGAAGTGCCTCTGCTCCTCTACTGACTACAGAAGTTGCATACTCCCTTCATTTACGTGCCTTAGCAAAGAACCTGCTGTAAGGCGGTAGGAAACTAAGGCTTTTTGTTTAATTCAGATATGCATATGCGAGACTGGACAAAGAAATGGCAGTTTCTCCCTCCACTGGGTAAGAAAATAGAACTGCACAGAAGTAAGCATGTGATGTCTGTCAGTAGGTAGCGCAAATAAGGACATGAAAACCATTGAAAAGCATTAGATTATTAACTGAAAATCTACTTGTAGTTACACTGCCAGTTTTGCAAAATGTCTGGCAAGGCTTCAGTAGCACACTAACTGTGCAAATTTATTAATTTTCTACCCTTAAGCCAATTTTTGTTAATAAGCTCCCGCTCGCTATTTTTATACCCGTAGTCGTGACTTTTTAATACTGCTGGTAACAGATACACTTTCCCAAAAACTAATGCAAACTTCTGCATGCATTTCTCAGTTTTGCATTGTTCACAGGATTCATCCAATCCCAGAAAAAGTGATTTTGAAAAGTATCAGTTTGTAATCATACACAAACTAAACTGGATTTTGAAATAAAAAATGGTTGGGAATGCTGATGTAGTTAGTCTGCATTATTCTACTCTGTGCATAAAATATGCTTTACAGTAAAGTACATCCAAAAGAGATGAACAAAAATAATTTAGTCTAATTGTTGTAAAGCACTTCTTTTTCCTTCTTATTTCAAGGTAGATTCATATCTCTGCAACCTTCAAATTAGGGTGACAAGCAGGCAAACTGACATAGGAATATTGCTGAAATGCTCATTCAATTACTTTTGTTTTGTGCTTTCATTCTAGGGCTACGTGAAGAGCACTATGAAAAATGCATTTCTGAAACACCAGTTTAGCTTCTATAAATGATTCTTTCACTCTCCTAACATTATAAAATGAACGCATGATTCCTGTCGCCAGCTATTTGCATCCTAGATAATTTGCTTTGATTCTGATTGATTGCTGATGAAATGGATGAAACCTGGTTAGCTTCCCTAAGAGGTGAGGGATCATTTCCACTCCAGATAAATGGTCCAGCAGTTTATTTCATATCTTTGCTACTTTTTAAGAGAAAAATTGAATAATCACATTAATTTCTGTTAAATGTAACCTACTCTAGAAGGTGAGACTCAAGAAGACTGAGGGCATCTGCAGGGATGTCTGCACGAGATCCTGGTAGTAAGCTAGTTGCATTTACAGAGATGACATTCAGAGCCAGCAAGCCCTGCTGGGAGGCCTGGCTACCACATTACACAGCTCTGCACTGTGCTGTTGTGAGCATGGATGCATTGACATAAGAGCTTGCCTGCACTCAGACAAGTGAGCCCGCTTTCATATTTATACCACTATCACCACATACCTTCCTGGTTCATGAAATGTGGGCCGTGTACAAAAGCAGTGAATCAGGCCCATCAATTCCAGCAGTACCATCTTCCATTAAAATAAGCAGAGATATGAGAAGGAAACGTTGTGGAGTCAATCTAACTCAAACAAGCTCTGCCTAGTTCACCTTCTGTTCGTCTTTTGTTTAGACACTTTCAGAGAAAATGACTCTTACCCTTCTCCTATTTGATTTCTATTCTGTGCAGACATCTTTCCTCTGATTAATGGAAACACTTTGAAATCCCTAATGCAGGTCTCATTCTATTAACTTTCAGCAAATCCCTAGTCCTTTGCTGTAGCACTGCACTAATTCTTATATCCATTTTATGTCCAGTCTCTTAGTAGTTCTGATGTCCACTATGCAGGCTATATATTCTAAATGGCTGTGGCTGTTTGTGTCAAACACACTCCTGAGATTAGTCTATTAAAATTCTCCATCAGTCACTTAGGTTTATCTTCAGAGCGAGAGCTGTTTAACTATTGCTGTCCTTGTAACCATGTGACTCCATAGGACATAAAAGTTTCCAGTTTCCAGATTGAGGCACTCTTGGAGAGGTTTCAGCAGATGACTTTTCTAGGAAACAAGAGCAGCTGTGTCACACTCATACACAACCACCCTAATGAAAGGAAAGGAGACTGCTTTAGTTTGACATTTGCCAGTCAATTTGCTGGTGGTTACCCTACTAGAAATAAATTTTCTGCTGACATCGCTCCCTAGATGATGCAACTCCATGGAAACAGTAGACTCACAGAGATTAAGGCCAAAAGGTGCCAATACATCATCTTGTCTTGCCTTATGCAATTCACTGTGTTGTGCCCTCAGTTGTGTTCAGTTACATTGTCTTCCAAGCCATTCTGGCACAGGTGAAGAAAGTTACTTCTCCCATTGACATTTTCCACAACAATTAAACAATCTCAGCATGAAACATACAGCTTTAGGGTTTGCTTTCTTTTTTTTTCCTCCTTAAACCTCTTCTGCACTTTCTTCTACTTTACAGCATCTGTTAGTAACCATCATTTTCTCCCTGTGAAGGTATTGAACGCTCTGCAATCAAGTCACTTTTCAATCTTCTGCCTGATAAGCTGAGCTGATTCAACTTCTTCAGTTTCTCGATGCAGTGCATTTGTCTTTATTAACACAGAGTTTTTTCAAACAGGTTCAACTCCCCACAACAGAGGACTATGCCATGTGACTGCCTTGAGCTCATCGTTAGTTACTCCTTTGATCCGGATGAAATCCATTCTTTCTTTTTTGGTCAATATTTGCTTTCAAGTCAGTTGAAGGGATTACAAAAAGTTTATTTAATGATTACTTCATATTCTGCTTAAACAAATCCATGTTACCTGTAGTCATGACAAATACAGATGTCTTTCCTACATCACTGGATTAAGCTTTCCATATAAATTTTCAGCCGACTATTCATTCTATTGTATATTTCCTTTTCTTCTTTGAATACTGACACAGCATTAGCATCCTTTTGAGTTATCAAGTATCCTGAAATACATCCAAATACAGTGAGAAGGAAATCTTATCTATTTGCTATGTATTGATTGATTTTTTGTTTTGTTTTGTTTTCTTGTTTCTCTATGGTCTCTTCCTTTCGGTCTGTAATCCAGTTGGCTTTCAGCCTGAACCGTACTTTTTTTGACCAATATTGCTTTTTGACCCTATAGAAAACCTTTAATTATTTAGACCTTGAATCCAAATGTTTTCCTCATAAATTCTAGTTTTAACAGACTTGACTGGATGGAAAATGATTTGGGTACTGATGATTTACTTAGAGACATTTAAAGCACTTCACTTCTCTCCAAACAAAAGTTATTAACGTTTTATCTTCTTGGCAGTAGCTGCTAGACAACCTAGAATTGCTTCTTCCATTCCACAAATTCCACAAAGAAAATGGAGAAAAACGAAATCTCATTATGACTGTTTTAAATGTAATTGTTCATCATTGACAGAAGAATTAGTTGACCTTTGTTAAGCAACATTTTCTACAGCTGCAATCAAGTAGTATAGCCACAACTCAAGGCAGGATACACAGGCTGTATGGGATGTTTTCTCTGTGTACTTAACTACTTGTGGTCATATGTTCTGTTTTTTTCCTGAGTTTAGTGGCTCATTTCATCTACAGCAACATTTCTCAAAGCAGCAAGTTAGCCTGTGTCTGAAAGGTGGGAAAAAAAGAAGAAAAAATACAGAAAAACGAGGTGTGCCTGTGTACAGAAGCAATAGCCTTGCTTTTCTTGTTTGCCAATACTTGCCAATAGCTTTCAGAACTAAGTTCAAATACACAGATTAGAGCTTCTTGTTAGCTACATCCAAAATACAATTATCTGAGAGAGAAGAAAGTTAATGAGCATGTCAATGTGGACAAGGGATTACAGAAATACCCTGACCCAAAGGCTTCTAGCTTTATACTCTCATTTAGGCTACCACAAGCAATTTTACTATGCTTGTGAACCCCTATTAAATATCCCAGACTATAACATTGACTTTAGCCTTTATATCCTTCTTTTAAATGAACTAATCTGACTTTTGCTGCTACCGGTGTTTAAAGTTTCTGGGAAGAATGACACTGTAGAATTGCAAAGCACTCTATAAATGTTAGTTAGGGCCCACAACGCTGTGGGTATTATCATACCACACTGAAAAGGAATGGCTCGTAGCACTCAAGGCACTTAAAAGTTTCACTTAGTGTATTTATAAAATCTAAATATTTTTATATTCCTTCCTGTACAATTTTAACACATTATTTTCCTTGAAATTTATCCGGATATTTATATTTTTTCTCCAACTCAAAGTACCTTTGTTTCCTCCTTGTCGTATATCATGAGGAAAAAAATATGTCACTTGTGGAGATCTATGTCTAAATGTAATCATATAAACATCCAGTCTGACTTCCCTCAAACAGGAGGCTTTCCCAAATTCTGGTAGCTCTGAGTATTGGTATGCTGTGCTCTACTTCTCCAAGCACAGTTTAGCCTTAACATACAGTACTGCTTTAATAAAGTGTGCTGGTTTAATCTGACCTTGTGTAAAGTTCTTCATCATCTGTCAAGCTATTTCAAGATCCAAATATCCAGCTGGCCTATGACTACATCCTAAAAACAATAATGACAGGCTTTACAAACCTTTTTTATGGCCTGTTTATGCAAAAGGGCACAACGCCCAATACCTATCAACAAGGAGCTGTGTTTGATGAACTAGATTCTACCTCCACCCAAATTAATCAAAAAATCTGTCACTGAAATCCTGTGGGAGTTGGGTCTGAAAACCCATATGCTGAAAGAGTAAGAAAATCAAGGGGAAAGAAAAATAACATCTATAAAGTACCAAAACCAGAAGTACAGATTTCAGATGGAGCTTATTTTAATTGTCACAATTTTCTGTGGAAAAAAAACCAAAACATATATATATATATATTATATATATATATAGCTGAAGGCTACTCAAATGTGAAGTTCTATTCCAGAACAGAACAGCAAGTACAGTTTGTCTAGAAATTGCTGAAGTCCCACATCTTAATTGCCTTCCATACTCTGAGAAAATCTATTTGCTGCAGTGTCTTAAGCTCTTGTGGATGAGCTACAATCAGTGATTTGCCAGCCTGGCTGAAATGAACATTAGAGCCAGCTCACTGTGCTGCCTGGATTGTAAATACTAAAACAGAAACCAGACCTTCATTTAGGAAGAGCAAGAAGCAGCAGACTTCTTTAAAATCATCAAATAGATATCAAATTAATTAATTGTAATTATGTAATCATGTAACCAACCATTTGTTTGGCCAAGAAAGAAAAATGTTATTCCATTCCAATAGCTTTATTTTAAGGTCGCCACTCAGTGTTGAACATAAAACATGAGCCCTTTCACCCTCTTCCAGTAATCTCTTCATTGATGGTAACGGTTAAAATACACAAAATCTGAAAAGTTCAGTCAGTGTTCGTATTTGGATGATTTCACCCTGCTTATTATTGTTCTCCACCATGACTTTCTCAGTTACTTCCCTTTTGAACATGTGTTGAAGAGGCTAAGGTCCAAACAGAACATGCTTATAGGTATATATGTTCTACTTGGATTTAGAAAACATTTCTAATAAACATTACTAAGCACTAGACTTCTTTAAAATCAAGATTTCAATCTGTAAAAGCATGTGTGTGTATGACCAAAAATCACATCGTCTGACACAACCAGTGGGTGGCACCTAATGAATACATTCAGTGAATGTGAAGTGCCATATTTCCTCTTTTTATCTGAGCATAATCTAACAAGTATGTAATGTGAGGAAGGAACTGCAGGCAGCACCCATGTGTGCCACGTATGTTCATAAGCACAGAGATAATTGCTACTCTAATGCAAATAGTGATTACTACTGGATAAGGTCTGAAGTTCAAACGAAATACTTTATAATACTGCCGTAAGACAACTGCCTTACAAAATGTTTTCTTTTGGTTAGAAAAATTGTAATTCAAGCATGTCCTTCCCTTTAAATTCAGAGGCAAATCAAATATCCTTCTGTTTGGCAAAGAGGTGTTAGAAAAGAAAGCAAAACCTCTGTATCAGCCTAAAGTATGCAAATTCAAGAGGGTTTTTTGTTTGTTTGTTTGTTTGCTGTTTGTTTTGGTTTTGTTTTTTTTTTTTTCCCTAAAAGATTTCTGGCTTCCACAGCATAGAAGCCAACTGAAGGCTGTGTACAGAGTGGGGAAAAGCAAATTTAATCCTGAGGCTGAGTAAAAATAGTTATAATTTCTGTGCTACAGCAACAGAAAAAACACTGCAGGCTCAGATTCTTGCAGGGAAAAGAAACCAAAAAGTGAAGCATGTTAAAGCATTACCCTAAGAAATGAGGAGGAATCAAAGACTTCCACTTTAGGAACCAAAACCTCACATTCATAATATTCTGTCTTATTTAATTTCAACTATCCTTGAAGGTAACAAACAGCCACTAAATTCTTTCAGCAACTACTTGTACTGACAGACTGAATTAAGTTTCTATCATATCATACATTTATGTCTTTCTATCATGGAATGTAGTGTCACCTTTGCAATCCTTAGGCAAGTTTAGAACACTGACTGACTTTTATTATCTGTCATCTTGAAAAGTATTTCTGCTTGTTGTATCACCTGAAAACAGAGGGTATTTCTCCTTTGAAGAGAAAACTACTTAACAAATTGTACAGTTAAAGCTTATTATGCTCCCAGATTACAAGGCATGTAAAGTCTGAACAGACTTTTAAAAAAAAATTTAAAATGTTTTCTTTAATAAGAAGTGGAAAACAAAAAAGAAAAAAAAAAAGACATACTGCACGTATTTAGTTTTATTTCTAGAACTAAATAGCTCTAAAAGTTTAGAAAAAATGTTTTTGAGTCTTTTCTTTTATATTTAACTCATAAGGTTGTAGTTTCATACAGAAAAACAAAAATGCTCTGCTCTGGTCTACCAACTCCAACTCATTTGGAGTTACAATGTACACAGTCCAGTAGAGGTGGGATACCATTATAGCACTGATGTCCAGCATTAAGAGACCATTCAGCACATAAAATGGTGAGTCATCCATCTGGAAAACAGCTTTCACAATCAGATGTCCCAGCATTGTCTGCATGCTCACTCTTAGGGCTGCATTTATTATCCAGTGACTTTCCAGCCAAGTTACTAGGTCTAAAGGTAACTGGAATCACAGAATCACCAAGGTTGGAAAAGACCTTTAATATCATCCAGTCCAACCATCCTCCTATCACCAACAGTACTCACTATGTCATGTCCTTCAACACAAAATCCAACTGTATCTTGAACACCTCCAGGCTAGGTGACTCCACCACCTCCCTGGGCAGCCCATTCCAGTGCCTGACCACTCTTTCAGAAAAGTAGTATAAGGGTTAATATCATTAATTGAAGTCTTTTATTTCTGCTGTTTCCAGACCAGTCTTAAAGTAGAATTCTTGTGTGGAAAAAAAAAAAAAAATTAAGAAGTTTTATTGGCACAGACATGAAATGGATGAGTACATATATTAAGAGGATTAATTACACCCGGATTTATGCACAGACTCATTATAATCAATGCACAGCGATGTTTTCAAAATTAACAAAAGGAAGGATTATGCTTTTGAGGCAGTGGGGAGTCAAACCATCAAGGAGAACAAACTTAGGAGCTGTGGGTGAGCAGGAGGCTGCTTACCTTCCACACACGAGGGCTGAGCCCGCGTTGTCCCAGCCACCTGCCCCGGGAAGCAGGAGCACTTGACTGTTTGCGATCGTTCCTCAATCCGGTTCTTATTGCAGCAACGATGCACTGCCACAACCTCACATGTCCCTTGCTTGACTTGGTGCTGGCCTAATAATTGCAAGGATAATGATGGAGAGCAAAATAAAACATCAGTGTATAAAGAAAAAGTCACTGCTCTTCAAATAGATGGCAACCACGTTTCCCCAGGACCCTGGGCTCCTTGTACTGGACTGTTTTCCTCCAGTCGCCTCCTAAACCCTTGCTCAGAAACCCCACTTCATGATACTCTTCTCTTTGCACAACTCATTTCCACATCCTCACTTTCTGAACTGCCTTCAAGTGCTTCATCTTGCATTTGTCTGTCTTACACAGAGTAGAGCCCTGAATGGCTCTTATCTATGTTTGTAAAGCACCTTGTAAATTAACACTACTATGGAAAAGGGTCCTGGGTTTTGTTTGATTTTAATTTTACTACGTTAGACAGATGATGCCAAAAATATTCAACACCTAACTAGGAGAAGGGACTAAAGTACAGATATTGATGTAAAGGTATGCAGTATCAGAGCTACTGAGATGTAGCAAAACAAGTGAAAATATTACAATGGCAAGCTTGTAGAACTACCCTGCTTGCCCATCCAGTATCTGTAACTAACTATACAGAGGGCATCTTGCTCTGATTCAACATGGACACGTTTACATGGTTACATCCTTATAGACAAGATGTTACCAAATGATTAAGTGGGAAACCTTCAACAAAGTTAGCAATGCAATTTAAGCCTCCAAACTGGTTTCCCATGACAGAAAACAAAAAGAGGACAGTATACAAATATACACTTAATTTTTAAGAGGTTGACTTGGCAATGTTAATTTGCCATGTGTGTTTTTGTTCCACAAGTACTTCAAACACAGCTAGAGGGCTGCCTGACTTTTCTTGCCAAATATGTATTCACAACCACCTCAATGGGCAGAAAACTACGTATACGAAATCCTGGAAAGGAAATTTAGTCTTTATTTGCGCACTCTACATGTAAAAAGAAATTCTATGCACAGAGGTGTTTGGATGCCTTTCTTTTTTCCTCAGGAAAAACCCACGCTGAACATCTAAGTAAAATGTGCCAGAGCAGAAAAAAGCATAACGCATTTTACAGAAAGTAGGAAAAATGTTGAAGACAGCATAAAAGTATCTTACATATCTACTGTATTAAGTTTACTGGCAGACTATGAATTTCCATGCAAGTACCTAATACCTATATCATAGTAAACATGAAAAAAAGGTGAAAACAGCTATGAGCTCGTAGGTCAGCAGCTTCTCTGTAAGTCAATAAAAAAAAAATAAAAGCACAAACAGACAAATTAAATTGGCCGTGCCACTTCATTCCAGAGTATTTTTCTACAAAACACCTCTGAGTGACAGCGTTTGGAGATAATGAGTAGATGGACAGAGATTGTGACAGAAAAGATTTTGTAAATTGAGGTTGTTAGTCTGAGAGCATTTCTCTATTTATTTATTTATTGGATCAAAGTCGTGAGCTAAAACACTTTGGAGTAAACAGGGTAAGTTTCCATTGGCTTAGAGTAGTGGTCCTGAACTCTCTGGAATCAGTGGCAAAATTCCTCCTGACTTCAGGAGAGCAAGGTTACTGGGCCATGACCTGAGAAGGACACTTCATAATGGAGTGAGGAAAGGAAAAAAATGGAACTGCTCAAGCCACATACTTGAGTTTGCTATGTATCTCACCTGAAAGACCAAGTGGTCAAGTCTTGTTTTAATTAAAGTCATTATTCAACTCACATTAGATGCCAAGATAAGAGAAGAAGCCATTTTGTCAGAGAGTACATCATAAGGATGGACTAGAGCCAGCTCCAGGGATCAATATGTAGCTGAAAGAATATCTCTTTTCAAACCCAAACCCTGCTTCCTTGAGGTGAATAGCCCTGAGAAGTCAATACCAAAATAAATCAAACAGGATTTGACCCCCAGGAAAAAAAAACCAACAAAAAAAAAAAAAAAAAAAAAAAAAAAAAAAAGCCAAGGGCTTGCTTTCAATTATCTTATTTGAATTTTGAAGCACTGGCATTGCTCCTGTAAAGTGCCAGGAGTCAACAGGAGCTCAGATACTTGTGTAAGGCAAAATTACGTTACATCCCAGGTGAGTCCTGTGGCTCAATAGCTGTTTTGCTATATGATCATTCATGCACAAGCAAGAGAAGGTGTCTCCTCTTTGCTGGCAGAGGTAGGATTTTAAGGTTTGAGAGTGCTGCTGCCGTGCAAAGGAAGACAGAGCTCCTATCCTTTGCCCCTAGCATGCAGATCCTATGGAGTAAAACAGCAAAAGGTACTAAAAAGCCAAAGACATCTGCATGCATCATTTGCATTAATTGGATTGCCCTTGTAATAGTCTTTTCCCTCCTACATACTCACATCTGTATTTCCTCCTGCTTGTTCACGCAGATCTTAACAACCCTTCATTCTGTTGAACACCCGTATGCATTTCCTCTTAATGTTCAGGCACATTTGCGAACAGGTGCTGAACAATTGCTAAGCACTAACAAGCTAGCTCTGTGCACCATTTTTCTCAACATTCAGCAATCTAGAGGACAAGCACTCAGTGTGCAGAGTGGCTTTCAGAGTTCACAAAACTCAACGAGTACCTAAAAAAACTAACCATCAACTCAAACAGGCTATTCGCTGCCTAAATCTCTTGAAATCTTATCTACATCCAAGTGCCCAAATGCAGAGAAAAGAAAGAACATAAGAATACTTTTCTGCACACTTTAACCTTCATTTTGCCACTAGATAAACCTTCAGCTCAGGTTTAGAGTACATTTAAGTTATGGCTAAGAGTAGAAGAATCAAAATACTCAAGAACAATCTCAAAATATTTTATAATGAATGGATTCTCAGGAAGACAACGTACTGGAGAAGTGGGGTCTGAAGAATTTTTTAAAGTGTGAACATCACAGTAAATGAATTCTATGCCAGGAAAGCCATTCCAGGGAGAACTGCAATGAGAGATAGGTAGAAAACCAGAACTGGGAGAGCAAAGCCCCTTTGGGCTCACTTATAAAAAGCCTATAAATTCACAGCTCTTCACCTGTAAACCTATTCAGATCTGCAACCCAAGGGCTGTCAATATTTGCAGTTGAAATTCAGTTACATCTTCACATTTAAATAAGAGAACTCTCCAAGGAGAGATGCATTTTATCAGCAACAGTACTAGAGAAAGGTTCCTGCTGTTGAACACCTTCTGCATACTGAAAGAGGAGATGTCTGCCAGTCAAGCACTGTGGAGGATAGAGGACAAATCCTAAGGACTGTAGGACACCAGGCTGCTTCTGATCAAGAGTTTGGCACAGGTGATGTTCTCCATATCCCTCATCTCTCAGCTTCCTCAGAATTACTAATGCTAACTAACAACACCCTCTATATCTCTCCATGTAGGACTCAGACAAAATGGGAGAGTGCTTGTTAATGGAAGTTGCTTCTGTTTAATACAATTGTTCAACTATTAAATTTGACAAGACTTTGCTTTCACTTTCTCCTATTTAAATCAAGGGGCAGATATGCAATTAATGCTTCTAAAACTCTGCAATCTTCAAATGAAACAAAGAAAAACACAATTATTGTCAATATCAAACATCACAGTGATGTACTTCAAAACTACAAGGAAAAAGAAAGAAAGATAGACCTTCAGAATGCTACTAGCTAATCCTGTCCATGTCCATGTCATCTCTGACTAATTCTAATCCCTCCCAAAGAGCATTCTTCCAATGCTACTTGCACACAGGCTGCACGCCTTTATCAGAAAGGTTTAATCCTGGATAACCTCCTCTTATTCTAATTTCTTAGCTCAGAAACATATGGAAACAGCACATATAAAGAAGGTTTTTAATTTCTCTTTCATAAGTTGTTCCATTTGATGAGGAATGCAACTAGCACTATGAAGAACAATGTATCTAGGATAATACAACCCTATCTCTGCACATTCTTCGCTGAGCCTCGAAACCAGCAAGCTTGGTCCTCACACAAAAACCTCGCATCATTTATTCAAAAGGTAAGGGGATGTCTGTCAATAAAGAGATGAATGGCTATGGAAGCTAATGCTGCACCAACAGTATTAGAAACAAGTAAGTTAAAAAGTCAGCAATGCAGCATGAAAAAGAAAAGCACTCCAAGAAGCCCAGTACCAGTTCATCTGTTCCGTCTTCATTTCATGTTAGCTTCTGCTTACATAAGTGCTCACCAAGAGGTGAATATTCCTCCAGAAAAACAAACAAACAAACAACTAAATAGTATTTGCTGTTTTTTACATTTTGTTACCCAAGATACATATGAGAACCTCACCAGATCACTGTTGCACTGTTTGTGTGTCTGTGTCTTCGTGAGATGAGGGAAGGGGAAATGGAGAGGGGGCATTTCCAAAGACAACAGGGGTTTCTAGAAGAAAAAGCTGAAAGTCACTTGGAATGTAAAACTAAGACACCCTCTTCTAAGATGAAATGAAACCAGAAGGCTTCTCTGCTAATATTCCACCCACCACTGGATTTTTTCACAATCATTTCACATTCACATCAAGGTCCTGACCTAGATGCTCTCTTTCAAGGATGCACAATACTTACATGAATACTTTCTCATAAACTGTCTCTGCATACACAGCTTGGTTCACTTTTGCTTGTAAAGCTGTATCTTTTCACTTGTTGGCAGTAAAAAGACTGTTCAGAGGCAGTCCAGATCTGCCACAAAAAGACATTTCAACTGCTTTCCAGATAAACAGACAAGAGATATCTTCCCATAATCACCTGCCCATGATAACAGGGCAGATGTAGTACAAAACCAAAAAGAGAGGTATTCAGCTTGCTATCTATCCATTACTTTCATGGTCCTTCCTCACATACATAGCAGTATTCTGATGACTGAAGCTAACAACTGTAACGAAGCAAGTAAGAAGAGATGCAGTGATCTCCCACATTAAGAAGTTGACACAAATGCTCACACAGTATTCATGTTTCCAACCAAAGAGTTCCCATAACATTGCATCCCATGTTCCAATCAAAACATTTCTGCATCTGCTGTTGCAGCAGCCAGCAACATGGGATGTCCAAAATCC